GAGTAGACATACTAGGTGTAAATATATTTTCTTTCCACCATTGTGTAGATAAATTATATTTATTTATATAATTATTTTTAATAAGAAATCTATTTGTATAAATTAATTCATTTTGTTTACTCCAATTACGACGACTAGGTGGTGTATATTTACGTTGCTGCTGCAGTATATAATATTGCTGCTGCTGCTGCTGCTGCTGCTGCTGCTGCTGCTGATGCTGCTGCTGCTGCTGCTGCTGCTGATGCTGCTGATGGATATAATGGGGATAAGGATGGGGTAGGTCATTATTATGTATATATGTAATAGGGGTGAGGTAGATTGAGAAGAGACGGAGACGAGTGTGCTGCTGCTGCTGCATGCTGCTGCTGCTGTTGCTGCTACTGTTCCTGCTGCTGCTGCTGCTACTGATGCTGCTGCTTGAGGTGTCTCTAAGTAGGCGTACATATGGTATGGATAGTCGCATGCAGCAGCAACCAACAAATCCTCCATGAGGATTTCCTATAGAGACAAGTGCCGCCATTGTTATAAACAAGCAGCAGCAACAACAACAACAGCAGCAGCAACTTCAGCAGCAGCTGCTGCTGCAATAGCAGCAGCAGCAGCAGCAAAAGAACAGGAGGGAACTATCGCCCCAACAACTTCCTGCTGCTCCTCACTGCTGACAATGTGTATTATGTCTTGTCAAATGCAGCAGCAGCAGCAGCAGCAGCAGCAGCAGCAGCTGCTGCTGCTGCTGCACAGCTGCTACTGCAGCAGTCTGGGCTCCTTGAAGCAAGAAGGAGTAGCTGGCTATGCTGCTGCTGCTGCTGCTGCAGAGTTTGTAGCTGCTGCTGCCTCGGGCACAGTGTGTTGCTGCAGTGTCTCGACGGCAGCAACAGGGGGGAGCAGAAAAATTTTGCTGCTGCAGCAAAGAAGAAGAATTCTTCTGTGTGTATTTAGCAGCAAATTAAATAATTAATTAATAAAAATAAATTAAATATATAAAAAGAAAGGAAAAATATAAGTTGCTGCAGTTTAGGGGGCCCCCAGGCTGTATAGACAGCCAGTGCTGCTGCTGCTGCTGCTGCTGCTGCTGCAGCAGGACGACTGCTGCATGCAGCAGCAAAAGGAGTTAAATGAATAAGTTAAATAAGATATATATATTATTTTCTATTTTATACACAAATAAATAACTCTTTTAATTACTGCAGCAGCTGCAGCAGCTATATTAGCAGCAGCAGCAGCAACACGAGCAGCAAGCAACCAGTTAGAGCAGCACCAACAGCAGCAACAACTCCAGCAGCAGCAGCTGCTGCTGCTCCAACAGCAGCAAATATAACACAAGAAAAGAAATATATCTGTTAATTGTTTATCTATTTTCTTTTATATTCCTCCTTAGTGTAGGTGTATACTCTGCTGCAGCTATATCAGTGCAGCAGCAGCAGCAGCAGCAGCAACACCAGCAGAATTAGTAGCAGCAATAGCAGCAGTAGCATAAGCATATAGATATAGTTGTGGTGTTGGTAGGTAGCTGCTCTCCATCTGTCCCCAGCAGCAGCAGCAGCAGCAGCAGCAGCAGCAGCAAGACCTGCCCCCAAGCCATCCCAAACTGCAGCAGCAGTAACAGCAACAACAACAACAGCAGCAGCAGCAGCAGCAGCAGCAGCAAAGGGAGAATGCTGCGGCTATACGGTTCTGGTCGTCGCAGGGCCATGGAGGAGAAGAACAATGCTGCATCAGGGGAGGGATCATCAGATGCAGCAGCAGGAGGAGGAGGAGGAGCAGCAGGAGGAGGAGGACAAGGAGCAAATGCAGCAACAGGAGCAGCAGCAGGAGCAGGAGCAGCAGCAGCAGCAGCAGCAGCAGCACCACGTATGCTAGCAAGTGATTTACGTTTACAGAAAGATTTAGAGGATTTAGATTTACCACCTAATTGTTCTCTTGTATCTATACCATCAGAGTCTGCTGCTGCTGCTGCTGCTGCTGCTGCTGCTGGAGTACCTGTTGCTGCAGCAGCTAGAGTAGCAGCAGCAGCAACAGCATCAATAGAGACATCAGAAGAATCGCATTCAGCAGCAGCAGCAGCAGCAGCAGCAGCAGCAGCAGCAGCAGCAAGTCTACAAACATTTTTATTAACAATTATACCTGATGAAGGATATTGGCGAGGAGGAAGAATACATTTTATTATTCGTCTTCCTTATAATTATCCACATGATCCACCTAAAGTTAAATGTACTGATAAAGTAAGGGTTTAGGGTTTAGGGTTTAGGGTTTAGGGTTTGTGATGGTTTATTAGGGTTTATTAGGGTTTATTAGGGTTTATGACGGTTTATTAGGGTTTATTTGGGTTTATTAGGGTTTATTAGGGTTTATGGGTATATAAGAGGGTTTACGAGGGTTTACTATTGTATATAAATGTATATTAGTGTATATTATTGTTTATTAGTGTTTATTAGTGTTTATTAATGTTTATTAGTGTTTATTATTGTATATTAGTGCTTATTAGTGTTTATTAGTGTTTATTAGTGTTTATTAGTGTTTATTAGTGTTTATTAGTGTTTATTAGGGTATATTATGGTTTTTTAGGGTTTAGGGTTTAGGGTTTAGGGTTTAGGGTTTAGGGTTTAGGGTTTAGGGTTTAGGGTTTATGGTGTATATACAGATATATCATCCAAATATAGATATAAAAGGAAATGTTTGTCTAAATATACTCAGAGAAGATTGGAAACCTGTACTCTCTCTCTCCTCTGTTATATATGGATTGCTGCACCTTTTTCTTGTTAGTCCTGCTGCTGCTGCTGCTGCTGCTGCTGCTGTTGTTGTTGTTGTTGTTGATGGAAACCTGTACTCTCTCTCTCCTCTGTTATCTATGGATTGCTGCACCTTTTTCTTGTTAGTTGGTTGCTGCTGCTGCTGCTGCTGCTGCTGCTGCTGTTGCTGCTGCTGCTGCTGCTGCTGCTGCTGCTGCTGCTGCTGCTGCTGTTGGTGGATGGCTGTAGTATTCCCTCCCTCATTTCTCTGATTCTTTCTAAATAATGTTGCAACTGTTGCTGCTGCTGCTGTTGCTGTTACTACTACTACTGCTGCTGCTGCTGTTGCTGCTGCTGCTGCTGCTGCTGCTGCTGCTGCTGTTGCTGCTGCTGCTGCTGCAGGAGCCTAACCCTAATGATCCATTAAATCAAGAAGCAGCAGCAACATTAAAGGTAGATGCTGCTGCATTTGGTGATAAAGTTCGCAGCAGCATGAGGGGATTCTCTATTGATAATATACAATTTACTCCTATTATCTAGCTGCTGCTGCTGCTGCTGTTGCTGCTGTTGCTGCTGTTGCTGCTGCTGTTGCTGTAGTAGCTCCTGTTGTTGTCGTCATATGCTATACTGCTAGGGTTGCTGTTCTTGCGCATGCATTATTATTTTTTTGCTGCTGCTGCTCTAATTGCTGCTGATGCTGCAGCACAAACAATAATAGCAGCAGCAGCAACTGCAGCAATAGCAGCAATAGCAGCAACTGCAGCAATAGCAGCAACTGCAGCAGACAATGCTTAGTATACTATGTTGGTCTTATGCTGCATAGATTGAATACATGCAGCCATCAACTCCACTGTTTGCTGCAGCGGCTATTGCAGCAGCAGCAGCAGCTGCTGCTGCTGCTGCTGCTGCTGTTGCTGCTGCTGCTAGTTTTCTTGCAACTAGAGGTAGTCTTTTGAGCATTGCGGTGTATCGACAAATAGTTTATAAAGAAATAATAGTTCCTGCATGCATGCAGCAGCAGTACCTGCTGCTGCTGCTGCTCCTGCTCCTGCTCCTGCTGCATCTGCTGCTGTAGTTTATTGTAGCAGCAGCAGCAGCAGCAGCAACAGCAACAGCAACAGGAGATTGGAGATGTATACAGAAGCATCTACACTGAGTTGTGTATGCTGCTGCACAGCAGCAAAACTAGCTGCTAGCTGCTGATGCAGCAGCAGCTGCTGCTTTTGCTGCTGCTGCTGCTGATCCATAACAGCAGCAGCAGCAGCAGCAACAGCACGTGCTGCTAAGAGTAGGTGTCAATTGCAACTCCCCTTTGGGGTGTATAGGCAGCTTGAGGTGTATATCTTGAGGTGTATATGCAGATACACCTGAATTGAATGCATGCAAATTGTAGAGCAGCAGCAACAGAAGCAGCAGCAACAGAAGCAGCAGCAACAGCAGCAGCTGCAGATACACCCTAATTAAGGTGCAGATACACCCCAATTTATTTATGCTGTCTTAGCAGCAACGAAATATTCCCTCTTGTTAGTATATATATATATATATATATATATATATATA